AATGTTGGAGACCATTTGTGGTCTGCCAGTTGTTATGGGTCACGCTGGGGTGGAAATGGAGCTTTAGTAAGATCCTGTGGTTAATGTTAACTCAGGCACATCATCAGGACAACCCCAATGTTGGAGACCATTGGGAACTACCACATTTAATTTTTCCTCTGTACACACAACACTTAACACGTCATATCTCAAATTGCTCATTCGTTGTTTCCCGAAATGTAATGGACTGGAAATAAACAATCAAATTTTAAATGAATCAATAGTAATTGCCTCCATTATCTTTGTCAGGGGAGACTCCTGTAAATTCACAACTCACACACTGCAATGTTAAGTGGGCCCAAATTTCCATCAATATAAGTGAATTTTTAAAGGGCCAGAGAGGAAAACCGGTAAAAAAAAACATCCTGATACCCAGAAGTCAACATACTGGTCACACAGGTCCACCATTTTGAGGTATATAAGACCAGTTGGGCCAGTATTCCTCATTCACCAGTTATATTGGGCTTTGAATGAATTTAAATATTGCCTGTTCGTTATTTCCACAGACTTATTTTGAATTGGTGCCTCTTCAGGGATAAGCTCTTCTGGGCTACTGCTCTAGACAAGGGTAGCTTGCCACAATCTACAAGTCAATCTCTGCAACCAACTTCACGCAGATGCAATAGCAAATTGCTGCAGATGCTGGAAATCAGAAACAAAAACAGAAAATCCTTGGAAAAACTCAGCAGGCCCTTCAGCCGACAGTCAATGACCTGAAACTCTTGTTTCTCTCTGCCAGACCTGCTGAGTATTTCCAGAATTTTCAGTTTTCAGTCTTTCATATCAATGTTTGCTGCTTCATCTTCGTCATCATGAAGCGGAAGTAGAAGTTTCAGGTCTGTGATGGTGAGAAGGTGTTGCATTCATTTCCATGGGTATCAGGCAGTGATAAACACCCCAAACAAATACATGCTTTAATGTACGTTGGCAGAACAAGAGAATCCTTGGGTTTTGAAGCTTTTGAAGTCCTATGGTCTATTTCAATCAAACACATGGTCTGTGTCTTTTCCTCAAATCTGAATACAAATTAAAAGGGAAATGCGTATGAGCTGCTGATGGATGGCAATTAACTATGGCAGAATTGGAGAAGACAATGAACTAACTCTTTCATGTGGTGTGAGGTTGTTGACCATGCAGCTGGATGATGCTGTGTAACGTAAAAGCCTGACCCCTACTGGTCAAGATACAATGTTGCTTCAAATTAAACGTTGCCTCCTCTCCTGAAGCCCTGGATAAAGTGCTGTTATCATATGTTATTGTTACATGTTAGTTTTCTTTCAGGGGGAAATATTTACCACCATTTTACTTGTTTTAAAGATTTTAAAATTATCTTCTATTGGTAAATCAATCCATAAACATAAACGCCAACAACTTCAATTCAAGACACAAAACTAAATTCACCTTAGCTCTTTCAAGACTTTTTTTCTTGTGACTGATTTTCCCCCAATCCATTTCTCAATTGCAAAACTTTTATTATCATTCTAAACTCAATTTCTGGCTTGTTCCAAGGTCACTCTCTCCATAGACTTCTGGTCACTTTTGCAATTATTTGGCATAAGCCAGTTAAACAGCTTGGCCAAGGTCTTAACAGAGACACCCTCATACATTTAGGAATCCCTAAGACACGATGTAAGTTGTCTTGTAAATGAAATCAGTTGTAGACTAGTGAACTAACAACTCATCTGGGTTTGCTATGTCTGTTTAGCCCATGGATAACCTCAAGGTTCAAATTGATAAGGTAAATTCTCCAGTTTGGCTATATAGGATTACATGGAAAGCCATCTGAAGAATAAATCTAGAACAAGGTGTAGCACTGGGTTATTCCCAATCCCCTATCTGAGTTGAGTAAACCTCTTTCAACAAGGGACATGCACCCATTTGGAGACTATGCCTCTGAGAGACATACACCAGGGGTAATGGTGCATTTGATTCATTCATGAATTTTGTGCTGGGGAGGGGGTAAGAGCTGCTTTACAAAAGGGTTTATTTCATTCACTTGTGGGCTTTGCTTGCTGGCCAGTACTTTTTGTTGCCGGTCCTTAGTTTCCTTTGAGAAGATGATGATGAGCTGCCACCTTGAATGTTTGCAGTCCACCTGCTGTGGGTTCAAAGAATAGAATCCCCACAGTGTGGAAACAGGCCACTCAGCCCAACAAAGACCTTCTGAAGACCATCCCACCCAGACCCATCTCCTAGCCTATTTCCCACAGCTAATGCACCTAACCTGCACATCCCTGAACACTACAGACAATTTAGCATGGCCAATCCACCTAGACTGCTCATCTTTGGAAACCAGAGCACCCAGACAAAGCCCACAAAGACACAGGGAGAATGTGCAGACTCTACACAGATGGTTGCCCAAGGCTGGAATCCTGGAATCGAACCCAGGTCCCTGGCGCTGTGAGGCAGCAGTGCTAACTACTGAGCCACCATGCCACAAGCCATGGTTGACCCACAATGCCTTTAGGGAGGGAATTCCAGGACTTTGAACCAGCGACAGTGAAGGAACACCAATATATTTCCAAGTCAGGATAGTGATTGACTTGGAGGGGACCTTGCAGGTGGTGGTATGTATGTTCCCATGTATCTGCTGCCTTCATCCTTCTAGGTGGAAGTGGTTGTGAGTCTGGAAGGTGCTTTCTAAAGATCTTTAATGAATTTCTGCAGTGCATCTTGTAGATGGTACACAATGCTGCTACTAGCTTCAGTGATGGAGGGAGTGGATGTGGTGCCAATCAAGCGGGCTGCTTTGTTCTGGATCATGTCAAACTACTTGAGTGTGGTTGGGGCTGCCCCCATGCAAGTAAGTGGGGGAGTATTCCATCACAATCCTGACAAGTGCGTTGTAGGTGGTGGGCAGGCTTTGGGGAGTCAGGAGGCGAGTTACTCGCTGCGGTATTCCCAGCCTCTGAACTGCTCTTATAGCCATTGTGTTTATATGGCAGTTGAGTTTCTGGTCAATAGTAATCCCCAGGATATTGATGGTGGAGATTCAGTGATGGTAATACCAAAGAATGTCAGAGGGTGGTGATTAGATTGTATCTAATTGGTGATGGTCATAGTCTAGTATTTGTGTGGAGTGAATGTTTACTGCAACTAATAAATTTTATGTTCAGTATTTGGCAGATTTATCAGTATTAGTAAGGTTTTATGAATTGTTTTAAAGGTTATTGGCATTTCATTAGCACTGGCAAGGTTAACTATAAATAAAGGAATGGTAAGGCTGCCACCCTTCAAAATACATATCCTGTGCTATGTGGGAACTCCAGGACATCTGCTGCTAGGGAGAGTTTAAGCTTTTGGTAAGGTAACAGGAAGAGTTGATCAGGGCTGTGCTGTTGTGTGGTATCTGGAATGGCAGCAGATTTCGCATATAGTGCCACACAACAGACTTGTGATCAAAATTAGAGTTCATGGAATAAGAGGAACAGCAGCAACATGGATACAACGTTGACTAAGTGATAGGAAATGGTGAATAATGGTCAATGGATGTTTTTCAGGTTGGGAAAGGTTTTGGTGGAGTTCTCCAGGGACACTTGTTTTTTCTGATAAGCATTAATAATCTAGACCTTGATGTACTGGGCACAATTTCAAAACTTGCAAATGATACAAAGCTTTGAAACATCATAAACTGTGAAGAGGATAGTGTAGAACTTCAAAATGACATAAACAAGTTGGTTGAGTGGGCAAAAAGTAGTGGATGAAGTTCACTGTGAAGTATGAAATGATGGAGACAGGCAAAATAGAATAATGGGTAGAACTTTAAAGCAGAGCAGGAGCAGTGGAACCTGGGGCTTTTTTTTATACATAAATCATTAAACGTGGTAGGTTAGGTTGATAGAGCAATTACTGAGTCTCTTTGATAGAGACATAGAGTTCAAGATCAAGGAGACTTTCTTGAACTTATGTAAAATACTAGCTTGGCATTAACTGGTGGATTGCCTTCAGTTTAGGCAGGAAGTGAAGGTATTAGTGAGAATGCAGAAGCAATTTACAAGAATGGTTCGAGCAATTTCAGTAATGAAGAAAGTTTGCAGAAGCTGGTACTGATTTATTAGAGTAAAGAAGGCTGAGAAGAGATCTGTTTAAAGTATTCAAATTCTTGCAAGATCTGGACAGAGTGAAAAGGGAGAAAATGTGTCCACTCGTGAAATATTCAAGAATAAGAAGGCACTGATTTGATGCAATTCATTAAAGCAGCAAAAGTGATAAAAGAGAAAAGGGTTTCATGTTGTGAGTAGTCAGGGTTTGGAATGTACTTCCTGGAACTGTGGTGGAGGCAGATTCAAGTGCTGCATAAAAAGGAGAATTAAATGGTTATATGCAAAGGAAGAATGTGCAGTGTTATGAGGAGAAGGCAAGAGAATGGTAATATAAGTGAGACACTCATTTGAAGGGTCAGCGCAATCATGATGGGCTGCATTCTCACAGCTAAATACTCAATGTTGTGTCATAATTGGCCTCAGCAATCTCAACTTTAAGAGAAATGATAGAGTTGGACTCAGGATAGATCCGATGCAGCTGTTGGGTGAGGATTGAATCTTTGTCATCTCTGCTGCTTCTTATGCTCAGACAGTCAATGGAGAAGTTTGGCTAGGCTTAAATACAAAAAAATGGTATTTTATACAAGGTGTCCTTAAGGTTGCTCGTGGGATAATAAGAACTGAAACAGTTCCTAATGGGCTCAGATACCTGGCACCAAGGTGCCCATAATTCAGATTGTTAGTCAGTAAGGGGAAAAGGCAGGAAAGTGGAGTTGACAATTATCAGATCTGCCACAATCTCATTGAATGGTGCAGCAGACTCGATGGGTCGAATGGCCTACTTCTGCTCCTATATCTTATGGTCTTATGTTTGATGTTTCTAGCATTTAAAGTGGGACTTACAGAGTGTGGGCAAATGAATTCTCAATCCTGGATAGCGGGATACTGATTATCTCTCTCTTTTGTCTTCCTGTTAAGGTCTCAGGTTGCACCAACTTCGCATAAAGGCCACAGATGCAGACGTTCTAGTTCACAGAGTTCAGCCTCCAGGTCTTCCAGCTGCTCCAGCAGGTAAATCTGTGCTCTTTCCTCCCACACCCACATTAATCCCAGCGCCTGTCATTACTGCACACTATGAACCATTCATCAGCGTTCCATCTCATCCACCCCCTCACCCCCAGCTGCCACAATCCCAAGCCCATCACTCTGTAAACATTTCAACTTCAGATATTTGTTAAGGAAACTAGACCACCACAGTTCAGTGAAGTGTGAACATTGTAAATATTTATCTCAGCGTGCATGCTGTAAAACACCATTAATATTGTTTTAAGCTTGACTATATAATTTAATGGCACCACAATCCCTCACTCACCTCTCCAGTGCTTTAATCTAATAGCAGTTGGAAAATCACATTAAATGCTTTCCAAGCGCCTCTGTCTAAAGTACTTCCATCAAAACATTTATAACCCTTCAGAAGCTCAAAATGTGTTTGCCTTTCATATCGTCGCTGTAGTACAGCAAGTACAAAAGAAAAGGCTTCCGTTTTTTCCAAGAACCTTATCCCTTCTCAATATACTGTACAACCAATGAATTAGTTTAAACGCACAGTCATCATTCTTAGGTACAGCACTACAGCAGTCAATTAATGAAAAGCCAGCTCCCATCAACAGCAACAGAGATGAAAGATCTCTTTATTTGATTTTCAGGTCTTGTTGGTTTGAAGGAAACATGTTCAGCAGTGGAATACATTACTGCCAGGGGTTGTAGAAGGAGCAGCTTTGCTCAGGACACAGGGAGAATTACCTGGTCACTGCCAAAGCCCTCACATTTAGTAAAGAGGATTCGGCAAAGCTGAAAGAGCCCGGTTTAACCATTGTCATTTCCTCTGCCTTCATTGCCTGTTCAGCTTTATTCCTCTCAATGCCATGATGGTAGTTTGTTGCAAATAAATGGCTTGATATAGGGCAGTTAACCACATTGCTGTGATTCTGGAGTCACATAGAGGCCAGAGCAGTGAACGTAGCAGAATTCCTTTCCTAAAGGACATTTGGAAACAAGAATCAATAAAGTTTTCATTACTGAGACTAAATTGCACTTCCGGATTTTTTATTAATTAATTGAATTCAAATTCCACGAGGCAACCGCAGGAAGTGCTACACCTGCCCCCATACCTCCTCCCTCACCCCCATCCCAGGCCCCAAGAAGACTTTCCACATCAAGCAGATGTTCACCTGCACATCTGCCAATGTGGTATACTGCATCCGCTGTACCCGGTGTGGCTTCCTCTACATCGGGGAAACCAAGCGGAGACTCGGGGACCGCTTTGCAGAACACTTACGCTCGGTTCGCAACAAACAACTGCACCTCCCGGTCGCGAACCATTTCAACTCCCCCTCCCATTCCTCAGACGACATGTCCATCCTGGGCCTCCTGCAGTGCCACAACGATGCCACCCGAAGGTTGCAGGAACAGCAACTCATATTCCGCTTGGGAACCCTGCAGCCCAATGGTATCAATGTGGATTTCACAAGTTTCAAAATCTCCCCTCCCCCCCACCGCATCCCAAAACCAGTCCAACTCGTCCCTGCCTCCCTAACCTGTTCTTCCTCCCACCTATCCCCTCCTCCCACCTCAAGCCGCACCTCCATCTCCTACCGACCAACCTCATCCCGCCCCCTTGACCTGTCCGTCCTCCCTGGACTGACCTATCCCCTTCCTAACTCCCTACCTACACTCACCTTTCCTGGCCCCATCCCCGCCTCTTCGACCTGTTTGTTTCCTCTCCACCTATCCTCTCCTCTATCCCTCTTCTATCCGCCTCCCACTCTCTCCCTATTTATTTCAAAACCCCCTTCCCCTCCCCCTTTTCTGATGAAGGGTCGAGGCCCGAAACGTCAGCCTCTCTGCTCCTATGATGCTGCTTGGCCTGCTGTGTTCATCCAGCCCTGCACCTTGTTGTCTCTCCACGAGGTACCATGATGGGATTTGAACTCCTGCCCTCTGTCTTAGTAGTTATTGTCCATTGCCCTCTCTGGATCAATACGACTGAACAGAACGACTACAGTCTGTACTTTCACTGCAATCTACTTCTTTATTTATCACTTAGTCAGTTTAACACTACAGCATAAAATTGTATCAGGTTACAAACCAAAGCAGCCTCAAGCTCACCAGTGAGACTTAGGTATTACCTACAGGGATAACCAGCCAGGATTCAACTGCTCAGCAGGGTGTGTTGCTCTTCTCCAAGTTCAGTGTCCTGTCTCTGCAATAGTTATTCCCAGGTCATGGCTTCAATGTCTTCAAAAACTCTTATTTTTACATGCTTTCTCCTAATCGTCCACAAAATTTGACTCCCGCCCAGGACCTTTGTGACTCTGAGATGACCCATCTAAGGGTCATACAGACAAGATGCATCTATTTCATTGTCCTCCCTTCTGTCTTTAATTTAATAGCCTTCATAACCATGCAGGCCAAGCAGCCCTTATCATCAAATTTCTGCCTAACAAGCAATGCCTGGTTCTGCCTTCTACAGTAAAGTATTGTTCCTATAAAGCTGGCCACTTTTTTCCCATCATCCCTGCAGAGTCTTAACTGTTAATGATTCTGGTACAGGATAGCAATTAAGATGCAGCCATACAGCTATGTAGGTACTAATGTTATCATGATGACACTGCTGTTTGCCTAACCTAGAGCTGATTGTTAAGTATTGAATTCCAATTACAAAACATTTTTCAGATTTGATTATATTAATTTCCTTTTACCAATTTCAGAAAATATTATAATGGTGCACCTAACCTCTTTGTTGAGTTGCTTCCTTGGGGCTTCTAATGGTTTATTTGGTATTGCATTGAGCCTAGGATCCACCCAACTCAATCTTCTATCTGTGTTGTTGTCTATAAACTCAGTGACGGAGTAGAAGTGGTGTTGACAGTTTCAGTGTCCCAGGTAAATGACAACAAAGGATGTTAGCCTCGGCTCAGTGCTGGCCCACCTACCTCTGCATCAGAGGCTTGTTGGTTAATGACCCAATTTAGAGTCTTGAGAATAGATTCTAGGTTGACAATCCAGGGCAGTATGGCTCTGTTAGAAGAGTTGTCATGTTAAAATAAAAACAAAATAAAATAAAACTCTGCATCATCTCAGGTGGACATAAAAACATCGCATGATACAATCTGAAGAGAAGCGAGATTATTAGTTTATTATTTATTTACATTTATTAACCAGCAACACAAATAAAACAGATTATCTGCTTGTTATCACATTACTGTTTGTAGGATCTTACTTATGCACAAATTGGCTGCCAACCGGTGACAATACTTCAACAATATTACAAAATGTTACAATATTACCAAGTTGCAGAGCGATATGGTGTCCCCCAGTGGTAATGAAAGTTTCTTTTTAAATTCAAGTAATTTCTTCCTTTCCTTCCAACACTCCATGCTGAATATTGGGTAGGTGGTCCTTTCTGTACTGCCACTGTGGTCATTTCACCTACTAAGGTTCATTGGCTCATAACGAAAGATAACCTAGGGAAGTTATTAGCGAACAAACAGCACCTCCCAAGAAGGAAGAAGCATAATTACAGAGAGAAAATAATTGCAGCTTCTCTCTCCTCAACCTCCTACATCCTCAGCTAACACTGTACAGGAAGTCTATCAAGCAAGGAGAAAAGTAACTCTTGACTGCCTTAAAAGTTATATTAATGAAAAATATAAACTTGCGGAGAAGAAACTCAATTCACAGCATTCACAAAATGAATGATGACAACCATGTTCTCTGCTAATTTTGATTCTGCTGTATTACATAGGGGTTGAGATTTACCAGCCAGTTTTGCTGCAGAGCAAGCAAGTTTAATTTCCACATTGAAATAATAATCTTATTTAAAGCATGCAAGTTTTATTAAAATGGGTGACTTAAAGGAGAGAGGGTTTTGCTCGGATTATTGTTTTTGAAATCTGCATTAGGCAAGTCAGCAGACCTGTAAGCCCACTGTTAGGGCTAAGTAAATGAAGTGTAACTGAAGAACGCTGACTGTTGTAGGAACAGGCTTATAATTAAAGATTAGCAGGTGTAATATAATGGCACTGTGAAAATGATACTGAAATTGTGTCTGAAATACAAAATTATTTTACTTTCTGCAGCCAATGTTCTGGTATCAATGGAATCGACTTTCCGAGTTCCAAGCTCAGTGTCCTGTTTCTGCAATAGTTATTCCCAGGTTATGGCTTCAATGTCTTCAAAAACTCTTATTTTTACATGCTTTCTCCTAATCGTCCACAAAGTTTGAATCCTGCCCAGGACCTTTGTGACTCTGAGATGACCCATCTAAGGATCATACAGACGAGATGCATCTATTTCATTGTCCTCCCTTCTGTCTTTAATTTAGTAGCGTTGGTAACCAAGCAGGTCAAGAGGCCCTTATCATCAAATTTCTGCCTAACAAGCAATGCCTGGTTTTACCTTCTACAATAAGGTATTGTTTCTGTAAAGTTGGCCACTTTTTCTCATCATCCTTGCAGAGTCTTAACTGTTAATGATTCTGGTACAGGATAGCAATTAAGATGCAGCCATACAGCTACGTAGGTACTAATGTTATCATGATGACACTGCTGTTTGCCTAACCTAGAGCTGATTGTTCAGTGTTGAATCGAGTTATTGCAATCACTAAACTAATCTTCTTCCTTTGACTTCTCAATAATAATGCTTGTGGTGCCTGCTGTCAATTGTATAAACAGTCAAACCAGACACATTACAGAAAACGTGCAGAACAATGCTCCCTCAAATGAATGGAGTATTTTTGAAAAATTTATATGGCACCTCTCTTGAGTTTGGGGAAGAGTGAAAGATTATGATCAGCGTCCCTGCAATGTTCATTATCACATCTTTCAAAATCCTTGAATTCAGTCTCTTGTCAATGTCAGGTACCAAAAGTTTATCCAAAACTTCTTCCTAATCAATTTTGAATCCTTCTAATGATAAAGTTCTTTCCTCTGTCACCGCGGCTTGGATAAATGGTATGTCCTTTACATAGAAAAATGGGAGAGTCAAGGAGCAAGCGTTTGTCAGATGGTACTACAATGTGGGAACTCACTTCAAGGATACTCAGAAGACTGAGTAATGGGACTTTCAAAGGGATACCAGATGACTATGTCTGGTGCAGCAAGGAACAGAGTCTGTCATAAGCTGGGAGGTGTGTGGGACTTACTCTTCAAGCTTACATATCTTCTGGAAATGTGGTGTAACATGTCGTTGGTTGTGTCAATTAGTTAATGAAGTGTACCTTTTTTGTAGTTTGGTGTATTAGTTGTCACTTAAGTAACAAAAACAAAGTTGCTGGAAAAGCTCAGCAGGTCTGGCAGCATGTGTGAAGGAGAAAACAGAGTTAGCGTTTCAGGTCCGGTGACCCTTCCTCAGACCCTTCCCCCCTTTCTGGGGAAGGGTCACCGGACCCGAAACGTTAACTCTGATTTCTCCTTCACAGATGCTACCAGACCTGCTGAGCTTTTCCAGCAACTTTGTTTTTGTTCCTAATTTACAGCATCTGCAGTTCTTTTGGTCACTTAAGTAATGTTTGATTTCAGTTTATTTTTAGAGAAAATATATGAAATCATGAACTATGATTTTTCCAGTTCGTTGATCAGAAATTCATTTCCTTTTAAGGAATTATCGGTTCCTATGGAGATTGTAACAAAGTCATTGTTGATCTTTGGATGAGTACAGTTGGATGCATTGGCAGAGGTGTTGGATTTAGAATCAGAGAGTCATAGAGTCAGATTGCCAATTGAGGAAGAATTATTCAGCAAATGTGTTCAGCAGTGAGCTGTTGCTGATGTATCCTGACTGCGAGCAACTTGCACATTCTTCTCCATCCTCTAAGTCATCAGTGTCACCTTGCTGAAGACCTTTGTCCATTTGGGACTTTTTTATTGTTCCAAAACAGTTATAAACCTCAGCAAAGCACTGTCATGCAGGACACTGTCTATGGATTGTGGTGGAAGGAGCCACCAGACTGATCTAGGCAATCTAATCATTGTTTGAAGTGACGAATGGTTCACTCAGTGACAGCTTTAGACAAACCATCATTCTGGTCACAATACAGTTCAGCCACTGAAAGCAGTTTTCCGAGATGGGCCATGAATCAACTGTGCAAGGGACAGCCCTTGTCCTCTGGCAGCCAAACCCTTATTTATTTGACAAGGGTGAAGATTGATGGAAGAATGAAAAATGATCACTCTATAAAAGCTTTGTGAAAGCTGTCTGGAGAGAAACTATAGGCCTTTACGATGTACTGCTAGCTTGCATGACTGAAGTGCCCTGTGACTCATGATGGGAGTTTGAAGGGAGGGGGCTCGGTCATCCTCAAGGATGACTGTAGGTGCAGTCACCAAGAGGCTAAGTCTGTGCTCGAGCCGCTACTTCAAACTGTCCACCGGAAAAAGTCACAGAATAGTTTGCAAACGTGGCATCAATATGGCATGTATCCTGAATGTATCCCGAATGTATCCTGACTGATGTTGCCGATATCCTATGTGATTACCCTCAAAGGACTGGAGTCAAGAGACTCCAGTGACCTTCAGTGTATAGGAAGCTCTGTGCTAGTTAAACAGTGTGGATGCAAGTCATTTTGGAGAAGGAGACAAAACTGGAAACATACCTTGACAACAAGGTGCAGGGCTGGATGAACACAGCAGGCCAAGCAGCATCATAGGAGCAGAGAGGCTGACGTTTCGGGCCTAGACCCTTCATCAGAAAAGCATACCTTGTTACCCTCAACCCATTCCAAACGTGAATGCCTTCTCCTGCCCTTTAGCATTGAATCATAGCCGCAGTTCTCAATCCCTAAAGTCCTTGTGAAGAGATCCCAAGCTGAGATTTAAGGCTTCACCATGGGAAGGAGAGAAATAAGTAGAGAGTGACTCAGAGTTATATTCACAGGTCGTTGAGCATTTCACTGCAAGACAGTTTAAGTGCAGGCCTGGATATACTTAGCTGGTCATAAGAGACGGAGTAAAAGAGCACTTTTGCTTTAAAGGTCAAAGCTTTATAAAAGTTTATTCTTCGTCTGCTCGTCCCACAGAAATGAAGCCCATTCAGGAGCAGCGCAAAGCCTGCGAGGCAGATCGAGAAGCAGCAACCACAGACCTTATACAAAGGCCAGTACAAAGCAGAGAGTCCGCACCAAAAGCCGCTCCCAGTCAGCCAAATCACCATGTAAAAGCCCTCAGAATAAAAACAGCAAACCAACTGACAAAATAGTAAGTATTGAGGCCAATTTTATCTTTTGATGGCAATTCAGGAAATTCTAATGAGCTTCATTTGTGGCCATGCGGAATAGTGTGTGGTTTCAAAAAGACAAGTATTTGAGTAGGCAAGCTCAGTGCATTTAGCTACCAACTTGTATCCTTACCCCTGCCCCACCAACCCTGCTGTGATTAACATCAGTTGGCCAGAGTCAGTATCTTTTTTTAGACGTTATTAATTTGTCAGTGACAGTTTCTCTTTCTTTTTTGCCTTTGGTCTAAATTTTTCACCTCTAAGCCAAAGATCCCGATATATGTTAGACTCTAGGATTACCCAAAATGCCTTGGTTCAGGTTAAGCTCAGTGTTTGATAACTGGTAATAAATTCACCCTTACCTCACATATTTTCTTCAATGAAGCTGAGAGCAAAGCTGGGTTTGCTGATCCCAACCTTATAGCTACTAACTACATATTATTCAAAGGGACAGGTACAATGCAGACATTAGGCATTTTGAAATTCTAAGAATCCTCCTTTGCAGTGTTGTTCAAACATTGACACAGAATTGTCAAAGCAACAAACAACCGTTGATTAGACATCACACTTGACAACCATATAGTCAAAATAAGACCAGACCCGTCTGAGTATATAATGAGTAGTCAATATCTGTCATCCCTCATTTTAAGCCTTTACTGATGTTGAATAGTCTGCACTGAACTTCTTGGTATTCATATATTATTCAAACTCTTTCTGTCAGAACTATTCGAAATTGCATTGTGATGCCATATTGTCAGCTCTTACAGTTCAACCCATTCAGTAAACAATTTCCCCGATTTTAAGTCTGCCTGATTTTGTGCTATGTCATCTTTTGACTTTATGAAATCCTCTAAGGAGAGTAATTAAACCCATGTTCCAAACTCCGTGATAACATATACTTGTATAATATGGTCTGCACTGCTATTTTAATAGTCCAAATTGAAATTCACCTGCTGTTGTAGTGCACTGCTTTATACATTCACCCCAAATTCTGTTAACGTTTGACCAAGTCATTAACTGTAACCAGTTAACCCTTTGACTTGGTAAGAGCTGTTAAGCAATGCATAAAGCAGTGCACAGTTATTAAGAGGATTGATCTTTGGAAAAATAAGTGCTCATCCACTTCTTAATTTCTGGAAAGCAAGAAGAGAAACAAATGATTTTCATCACAGTAATGTGACCTGCAAATGACATGATAATCTGTTTGCAAAAAGAAAGTTTGCTGAACAATCTCCGTGAATGTGGTGCCCTTAATATTTACAAGAGATCAAAAAAAATGTAAGAAGTATTTGGCAGGCTAGACACATTTATATAAGGCAAATGCTTCTGGAATGGAGGGATTGGTTTAATGATAGGGACTTGGCTAAAAGTAAGAAAGGGATAATCAATCATTGCCAATTTCAGTTCAGAGATGTACACTGGATGATTAGGTCAAGGTCACATCTAATCTGCAACTTTCTATTTATCCAAATCAACTACTGAAGTTCTGTAAATCACAGTTGGAAACCTTCCCAGAGACAGTGCTGAATTTTGTGATCTACCATTGGTAGTAGGCGTTGAAATTAAGAAGTACTTTGACAGCCTTGGCCTATTCCTTAGCAAATAATGGTCTATTCTACATATATATCCCTTTTCATTACAATATGCCAGCTTTTGAAGATGTGAAGAACAACAGCCCTGTGTACAGTATTGTAGATAGTAGGTTGACCTATTCATTGTCATGATACAATAATGCAGAGGAAGTATATGAGTCAAGGGCAAATAAGAAAGGTTCAATTCCAATCTTAGAAGGGTTATCTTTTGATTTTATCAATGTAGAGGGACATGTGTTTAGGAAATGTCTGATTCAGAGAATAGCACATGGGTAATTGTGCTACACAATAAACAAGTTTCATAATGCAGAAAGCATGAGAACTGAATGGATCTAAAGTGCAATTAAAATAGATTTCAAGTGTTTATTTAGCAGAGGAAGAGTCAAATGATTGTTTTGAACCGCGTCCTTTGTGAGACATAATCTCAAGCACTATCCCGATATAACAGGGCCTGGAAACTCAATAGCGCGTGGCCGATTTGTAGACACTAATCAGATACTAAAGATGGGCTTAGTTTGGCTTCAAGTTTATTTTCAACTTTGTAAAGCCTTGATGCTACCCAGGATAGAAGTAAAGTGTGGTACTTAGTGCAGCAGATAAGCCACGATAATTATTTGCTGAAATAGTCTACTCACCTCCTTCAGCGTATCTAAGCTCGGAGTCAGCAACCTGAATAACAAAAGGAGCTATTTTTAATTTTGTATCAAAAATGCATTTGCTTGAGAATAGCGATGCTATTATTCCAAAGTCAATACTATGACAAACAAGAGAGGCACACTGCAACAAAATTCTGAAGGTTTTTGTTTTGCAAATAAATTGTTTATTTAAAAATACCTCTTGCAAGTACAATATTACTAAAACGTTGATCAAAATGAAACAAGCCATTTAATTAGCAACCAAATGGGTTTGATAGGGCAAGGTTGGGAGCCACATATGAGTTCTGGAGATGCAGGTTACTGATCTCTGACACTAAGCCATAGGGCTTTGTAACTGATGCAATTTAAAACATGAGATTGAATCACTAAAAGACATTCTAAATGGTTTAAACATGTCAGAAATATGTGATGAAAATAGATTGATGATTTGTTGTGACAGAAGATTATGAACTTTATGATAGCAGAACAAAGGGTGGCATTAATGGTATATATGTATAGTCACCTTATACTGCTCCAATTCAAAAGGCTAATGCAGCTGCAGTGACAGTAATTCTGAAATTGTTTGAAAATAGGAAAAAACCTTTCTTAACTGGGGTAACTTTATTGTCAAAAAATGTTTGGCAAATTTATCTTTTTGTGCATTTATGCAAATCATGTTGAAATTTATCACTCAGCTGTTGATGTGTGACACCAAAGTGGCTCAAAAATCTATGCACAGTAATGTGAAGTTTCGCCCAGCCTTGTGAAAGAGTTTCAGGGAGACTCAGGCATGCAAACTCTCCAATAAGAAATTACAATTGCTACCTACTTCCCTATAGTTTCAGTTGACGAATTCAGCAAAGCCATGAATGCCCAAGCTATGTTCGAATGCCAGCCCATGCTGGGTGAATTGACTTCAGCTGAGAGGAGCAAATTGGAATTAGTGTGACTATCTTTGATGCAGAGCTGGCATCAGTACAGACACAATGGAAATAAAAGGTCACCAGTCTGTTCGACAGTTTTTTTATACCCAGGCTTCAGAGTGTGATCAACACTGGTGCTTTTGTGAAATAAGCCATTCATTAATCACATCACACAGCTCATTAAATATTCATCACTATTCAGGAGGTTAATCTAACATTAACATGTACAACCAGTGTTTAACTGCTTATGACTGTGTATGATGATTGCATCTATCTGAGGCCAGCAGTGTTATTTTATTTCTTTCCATCCTTTCATTTCGGTGTATAATGAAAGTTTAATTTAAGTGAATTGCATGTGTTGCTGTAGCTTTTGAAATATGGGGTCGAAGCACAGCTGGTTGTAAAAGCGAATGGAGTAGAAAACTTCATCATTCCCATTACGTTGCCTCAATGGCTCTTAGGATTTCAGGTTCTGTGGCCCATTGGAATTCCAGTAGACAGCATGTCACTCAGTGTGTTGTCAGCTTTTTAACTTTGTTTTACAGAATGTGAATAATCATTTGAATTTATAAAGTACTGACTGAACATTGCATCACACGAAACAATGCTTGAGTTGTAGGATATTTTCAGTCAAAAGAAATCCAACCAGCAATGTCCAAGACGTTTCCCTTGCTTCTTCATCTATCACAGTGAAATTATTCTTTTGACAATTTGACTTAAAAAAACTGACATGAGTACAAAAGAGGAAAGTCCACTTTGTATTTATGTTCTTATTTCATAAAATAATTAACACGTAGATCTTCACTCCTATAATTTTCTTGGTCCTTTTCTGCTTCCTATAACCAATGCAAAACAATACCTCAAGAAGGACCAGTCTTTATCAAAATACTATTAGCAATGCATTACTCGCATAAGATTCCCAGCACTTTTAATAAGGTGAAGACAACCACTAAAGCAGGCTTACAGCCTTTGGATTTTAAACATGGCCTCTATGTGATCATGAAAAGGAACTTACCGCTTTCCTAATATGGCATCATAGGCAATGTGTGATGGAAGACACTGCTTTTTCACCTCTATGTTATATCTTTAAATCCAACCCTGACTAATGACAGCTGTAAGGGCTCTGTTTGGGTGGTCTCAGTGCATTTACATGTACAGACCCACCGCTGATAATATCAGTTGCAGAGGGCACTGAGTGCTTCCCATGGAAAATGAAAATGTCATACAGATGCGATCAGCAGGCTGCTCAGAAGTGGGAGGCAATGCAAGTTGTTGCCAATGCAGAAAGAACTTCAATCTGTAACAAATGACAGCAACAAACCATTTTTAAATAGCACATTTAACATCTTAAAACATCCCAACGCCCCTTGAAGGATCATTATAAAACAAATCATGATACTATATAAAGAGATATTATGTCAGATTACCAAAAGTGTAGGCAAAAACTAGGTTTTAAGGAGTGTCTTAAAGGAAAAATACAAGGTAGAAAATGTAAAGGGGTAGGGAAGGTATTCCAGAACTTTGGCCTGGGCAACTAAAGCTCACAAAAGCTGGAACAATTAAATGTGGGAATGTGTAGAATTCAGAGTTAAAGGAGGCAGATATCTCAGAGAGTTGTGAACTGGAGGAGATCACAGAAGCAAGGAGTTTAAACAAATGAAAGCAGAATGTTATAACGTTTGTTACTGGTAATGTTTGAACAGTTTCATACCCGTGCTGGCCAGGTTCAGTTCCCTAGTACGTATATCTTTCACCTCAGTCAAAATAAGTTCACAACACAAGAAGTAGCACTGCTCACAAGAACATGAGCATCTCAGAAAAGAGAGCAATTACAGGCCTATCAAGTCGAATTCAGTGATCAACAAGATAATGGCTGATTTTCCAGCTCAACTCCACGATCCTCTTGTCCCTTAATTCCCTCAGTAACTAAAAATATGTAGACTTTTCCCTTGAACATACTCAATGACTAAGCATTCACAGCTATCTTGGGTAGAGAATTCCAAAGATTTACAATCCTTTGAATGAAGAAATTTCTCCCCATCTCAGTTCTAAATGGTTGACTCGTTATCCTGAGACTGTGACCCTGAGTTCTCCATTCCCTGACCAGGAGAAGCAATTCCTCGGTATTTCCCCTATCAAATCCCTAAAAATTTTGAAATGTTCTAATTACATTTAATATCATTGCCCCTCTCGTCAGAATACTAATCATTGACCCCCAACTTGTAAGCTAACTCTGACATTGCTATCCTTTCTGAAGTACTTTAACATGTCCTCGACTCCTGATCTTTCTCAAAAATCCATGTTTCATTTTCTCTGCTCTTGCTATGTTACTGAAACTGCTCTTATGACAGTCATAACTGATATACCATGTGACTGTGACATGGTTTCATTCTTCTAAATTCTAGGGAATATAGATCCTGTCGATTAAATCTTTCATGTTAGGCCAAACCAGTCATCCCAAGAATCAATCCAGTGAACCTCATTGGATGTCCTTTCGCATAGCCTTCATTAAGTAAGGAGGCCAAAACTGCAGATGTGGCCACATCAATGCCCTGTGTAATTGTAGTAAGGCTTCTTTACTTTTATTCTTCAATCCCTGTGAACCAGAAGTTAGCATCCCGTTGGGTTTCTTAATTGTTTGCTGTACTTGCATTTTAAAATTCTGATTCTTGTACAAAAATATCCTTGTCCCTCAGAATATAGCATTTGCCAGTCTCTCATCATTCAAAAAAATTCTTTTTTTATATGTTTTCTTACCAAAGCAGATAACTTCATAGTCTACCATTATCATATTGCTCCTACAATGTTAATGTTTACTCATTCACTCTCCCTACACCACTCGAAAGCATCTTTGTAACCAACCAACTGCTTGCTTTCCCACCTAACTTTGTGTCATCAGCAAAATTGGATATGTTATACTCTTTCCAATGATAAATAGCTCATGCAAAAATAGAATTCCATGGGGTATCTCATTTGTTACTGCCTGGCAAATCAAACATATCCCATTATTTTTCACTCACTGTTTCCTGCCCCTTTACTTGTCCTCTCCCCATGTTAATATTCTATCCCCATGAGTCCTAACTTTATGAAATAAACTATCTTTGACCTGTAAGGGATTGTCATGTACCAGAACTATAAGTAGAACTAACAATAATATTAGCAAAGGTGATCCTTAATTTATGAGGAAGCTTATGAAAAATAGTTTAATTAACTGATACGAAATAATGGTGAGTATGCTTTAACATTAAAAATGTTTCTCTCCACTTAATTATTTATGGGTGGACCTCTAGCACAGTGGATAGTCAATAAAAACTAAAAGAACTGCGGATGCTGTAAATCTGAAACAAAAACAGAAGTTGCTGGAAAAGCTCAGCAGGTCTGGCAGCATCTGTGAAGAGGAATCAGACTTAACGTTTCGGGTCCGATGACCCTTCCTCAGAATACTGAATAGTAATCCTGTTTCTGAGTCAGAATCTCTGGGTTTGAGTTCCAACCCACAACTTGACCAAGGAAAGCAGCCAAGCTGGTTGTGTATTAACCTGTAAATTTTTCGAACATGGTCTACTGAAAGATGATTAGAATTGGCGAGGTTCCTGGCCAGCCATGTAATGGAAAGAAATTGAAGGCTGTAATGCCACTATCCAAAGTCCTAGATTACAACATACAAGTAAAGGTGTCATAAATACAATGAATTCTGGAGATACTTAACTGGTCTGGCAGTATCTGTGGACAGAGAAACAGAGATAATGCTTCGAGTCCTTTGAGTATTGGAATTTGGAAGTCATGTTGAGGTTGTACAGGACATTGATGAGGCCTGTTCTGGGGTACAGTGTCCAGTTCTGTTTGCCCTGTTATAGGAAGGATATTATTGAGGTGGAGAGGGTTCAGAAGAAATTTAGAACATAGAACATAGAACATAGAACATTACAGCGCAGTACAGGCCCTTCGGCCTTCGATGTTGCGCCGACCTGTGAAACCAATCTGAAGCCCATCTAACCTAAACTATTCCATTATCATCCATATGTTTATCCAATGACCATTTAA